TAGTCAAATATGTTGCAGTGTGGTCACATGTCTTCTCACACACTGTGAAATTAGAAATGTTATCCTACCTTCTGCCCCGGTGGGAACCTGGCTCTTCCGCCTGTTCCTCTTCCTCTTTTTGCCCTACACAAAAACAAAACACATTACACTTTCCATCCGATATCAGCTGATAAAAACTCTTCGCAGTGACTGTATCATCAGCTCTGGTGTAGTGATGTCAACATGTATGAGTTGTGTGTGAGCAGGGTGTACTTACATAGTTGTCACTGTTGCACCAGTCAGGGTGTCGCTGGGTGTGGAGCAGCCTTGCTTGTTGGGCCTGCTCGTAGTATTGGGCCTGCTCCCCCACTGATAGTGACTTCCACTGTGGACAGATGACAACACTGTCAGTTAGCGGCAACCCACAGTTTTCAATTCACTTAAGCAAACTCCAATTTGGGTCATAAAATGTGACAAAATCCTTTAAAGGTTTGGTTTGTTTTCTGGTCATGAGACAATAAAGGAAAACCATCAATCACTGTAAAGATGTGAAAATCACCTTGAACAATCTAAAATGTAGAAAACTGTTTTTTTTTAACAAACTTTGATCTAAGTTTGTGACACAGAGTATCTCAAACATACAGATCCAATGCACATACCCTCTGTCCCAGGACTGCATTTATGGCCGCACTCCCTTTGCTGACTATTTCGGCCTCCACCTTCTCTCTCTGCTCCTTCATGAAGAGCATGAAGGCATTTGGCGGCTTCTTCACATAAGGCTGGTCGTCCATTTGCTGCCCTTGACACTTTTTCTTCCTAAGGGACAAAAACAGAGTAAGAGCTCATGTTACCGATGTATGAAACTGCGAGGAAGGAAGTATTTTCAAATAGGCAGACAAAAAACAGACACCTGAGATCAAACAGCTACTAGAAATTAAATACAAGATGATTGTGATTCAGTTATGAGCCTTATTTTTGATCTGTCAGCTGGTAAGAGATCATGTGCAAGTCACAGAAGAGAGAAACAATTTGACCAACACTATCCAGAGCAAACTTACTTTGATTTGTAGGCGTTGAGTTGGGGAGCAGCATATAGAGGAGGAATGAAACCTCCGCCTGGAACTTCATACACCAACTGTCCATTCCTACACAGATAAAGATTGACAGATACACACATTAGACAGAAGAAAGAGAGTGTGTGTGACGATACGACACACGATACGGAGCTCAATATCTGGGTTTACTGTTGTTTTTCTTTGCATTTGTGTGTGTTACTTACAGCATTCCCACAACGTGCAGGTTCTTGTTGAGGTCTTGGGGGACTGTCACCATTGGGACATTGTTATACTGGAGACAAAACACACACAGAACAGGTTATCAGACAAACTGCATTACTGATTTACTCATTTTAAGTTGTACTGTACCCTGACATATACAGCCTAATCTTAATGTTTTAGAAACTGAGCTTCAAGAGAGTAAAGCTTTGCCTTTTAGTTAAATTGTTCTAAAATGTGCCATTTTTCTATTGGAGTTTTGAACTGGAACTGCAAGACAGCATTGACATCCTTCTACAGCAATGCTAATAAACCTGCTGTCTGCTGCAACCAAACAGTGAAGATGTTCAGTGTGTGTGGTTAACCAGGGTCTTACTGTGTGTGTAGGCGCAGCAGCAGGGTAACTGCTGGCTGCTGCTGTGGGGACTTCCTCTACTGGCCCCTGATTGGGCAGGTACTGTGGAGAGAGAGAGGGAAGGTTAACTTACAGTTAATAAGTTTATCAATCAGCAGAACCTCACTGTCTAGTGTATAATTCATTACATTCAACACGTGAAGGGACACCAAAGTTATTTTACATTGATGAGCCTTTTTTCTTGCCTTCTTTTGGCATAAAGCATCCACAATTGACACATTTCTGTATCAATATAGGTATTCCTCTACAGATACCTTTTCTTAATCTATACTTCATATCTTACCTGTCCCTGGCTGTAAACACCTGCCTGACTATGCAGGGGACTTGGCTGCAGGACATCACACTGTGGCTCGTACATGGTGGGAGAGGCCATGATGTGAAGATCTTCTCCCAGGGAGAGAGACACATTATAATCTCCAAACTGAAAGTCTGGCTGAGCGTAGGTGTTGAACTCTAGCTCAGCAGGGGCAGGAGGAGGATATGAAGGTGGAGGAGGTGAAGACTTCAATTGGTTTTCAAAACCATTTGCTGCTCTCTCAGTGATTGCGACCAGCCGGGCGCACTCCAGCTCCTCTATAAAGCAATCAATCTCTGCACCAACATCCATTTTTGTGACTGAGATTGTGCGCTTTCTGCTTGTAGTCTGTCTGGTGGTTGCTGGACTCCTGTCACACACATTGATAAGAAGTTGGTTTTAAATCCTGTATAAAGTTCATTTGATAATACTTTTTCACTTTTAGTTGACTAATTTACGTGTAGAATTTTCACACTGCGGTATTACTACTTCTATTATAAGGGTCAGAATATTTCTCCCATCACTGCACCAGTGGGCCACGAGTGTTACTGCATTAAAACATTTACAATGCTGAACTCAAGCTGAAGGATACTGTGGTATAACAACAAGCTTTAGAGACAATATTTAGTTAAAGTTAGCTATGTGTGTTAGCTGAGAGTCAAGAATATCCCAGTTGGCCTTAACTGGATTTAATTGTTGTTGCATGTCAAATATTAGGTACAAAGCTCAATGTTTGAGTACTTACCAAACAGCGTTTGTGTTCACTGAAGGTAGACTTGACAATGAAATAATCAAGAGGTATGTATCTTTCCAGGTTTTCTTGAGTTGTGTCTCTCTGGAAAAATGTGTTTGTGGTCTGCTACTAAAAGTGACTTACGTTCTAGAATGTCAGTGTACATTATGACCTAAGTTCATTTAAATATTCCATTCTCTGATTCCATTCTAAATGTATTCTCTACTGCCAACACCTGACACATCCATAATAAATTCATTCAGTTAACTGGTAACCATTACGTCCATTACCTTCTTGATATACCCAATGGAATACTCTTTTTTTGGCTGTACCGCAGCGAAGCAGGGCCAGCTCTCTAAACTCGAAAGTCTGTCCATGGCCTATGGATTTTCCCTGTTGAATAGACGTGAATAGTCCTCAATTATATCCTCATGACCACACATGGTCAGCCATATACTAGGTTTCAACCTAGTCTTGTATCATTCCACACGCACTTGCACAAAAAAATGCCCACTCTGACTTGCAGGGCCAAATATTAAAAATAATAAACTTCATTAGATAGGACTTCTGTAAAACTTCATACATAAGATGCAGCTCAATGTGTTAGCCTACATACACCTTCATTGACAAACAAACCCAAAATGTTTAAAATAAAATGAACAATTTAAAACACAATAAAAAAGCAGGACATAAAACATTTCATTACCAACAATAACAACAACATTAACAAGATTTAATGGTAAACTCACTGCACCAGTTTTGAATTATAAGCCTGTACTACATGGTGAGATGTCGATTAACAATAAACATGCATTTTGTATAATCTGCATTTGTCTACATTGTAAATTAAACAAAATATTTTAAGGTTAACTCATCTATGCACAGAAGCATGTTTAACACCTGATGAACATTTTATATATAACAAAGGTATTAAACACGTTTTAAAGATGAATGAATATCTTTACTCACTTAAGGTAATTTAAATATAACAAAATGTCATATAATATGCTGTTTGAAGAACTGAATCAGACTTGCTCATATGTGTGGTAGAACAATCGCTTTTCTTTAGGCGATGAATCCTGGTGGCTAGAGCTTTTTTCCACTACATTTCAATCTAGAGACACTAGGAGTCCAGAGGTAAATGTCACACACACGCATTGCCATCAAAAAAACACCTTATCCACTCAGCTCTTCTGTCCCCTGAGGCTGGGGTCTGATGTATTTTTGATGGTTATTTCACATTGTGTCAATTAGTTTGGAGCTGAGTAAATGTTGAATAAAATAAGCCCCGGCCTGCATTATCCAGGCTGACCAGTGGAAGTTGTGAAGATGGGGGTGTTTTGACTTGCTGACTTAGGTCTTACCATCTATTAAACTAGAATTATTACAACTGAACCACAATTATTTTCAAACATAATCAGTCATTTCTAATAATATAGCATACTTAAAATCAGGTCTGCATAGGCCCCTCTCACCCTAAAGATAACTAATGAATAAGCATTTTTCTCCTTATTAAAAATAACACCAGTCTGTCCAATGAGAATTTGGCCTGTATGTTACTGTGTCTAAACAGCAGCCAAAACCCCAAACATTCAGCTAATTGTTTGGATATTGGGTTTCCCCATAGATAAAATGAAATATATGGAGGCCCATTGTGGAAGAAAACATAATAGAGTGCCATAGGGCACTGTATGTTTTTTATTGCACAGGTGTAGTAAATATATTTTAATCTGAGTCACATCATAAAACTATTTTAATCTTAACCATGGTTTGGAACTGATCACCAGAAATGCATCACAACTTTAGGCCCGCTTTCACCGCATGCAGCTGCCCTTCTTTCGTTTGGATGAATAAATGACTCATTAGAATCAATCAAGTCAGTTATCATAAGACCTTGAAGTTTGGCTTATGGTTTTGTTCATTATGAGAACTGCTTCACAGTGTCGACGGAAGGAAGAAAAAAAAAGATGTAAACAAGTTTTTATCTTGATGAGAAAGTCGTGGCTGCATCTCCGCCCCGGATCACACCCACCATACTTTCAACCTCAAAACCCCAACAAACAAGTAGTCACACATACTGACAAAGTCCTGAACAAGAACGGTCTGCTTTTAAGATCAGAGTCTAGATCTTTAATCACAAAGTGGCGAGATTTAGAAGGAAAGTCTTGCTCAACACACGAGATGATCGTGAGGAGACTGTAACAGGGTGAGCTGCATCGATTATAGGTCATATATGGTGCAAATTAATGACATTCCCTGCTGTTTAATCTAAGATCTACTTATTTTTTATTCATAGAAAGGCATTAATGGAGCACATCTCATATGTCCCTCCACTGGCTCTCCACGGCCTCTCCGTGGATAACAGTGGAGCGCACTACAAGGACGCGCTTCGACTCGGACTTCCCTTCCACCTTGACGCTGCATATCTCGACCCTGTGCACGGCCAGAGGTTACCCTACAGACGATTCTCCTATTTCAACTTCCACGGACCCCTCGGCGTGTGTGATTTCTCCTTCGAGCCCGCGTTCATCCGGAAAAGGAACGAAAGGGAGCGGCATCGTGTGCGCTGCGTAAACGAGGGTTACGCGCGGCTCAGAGAGCATCTACCGCAGGAGCTGGAGGACAAACGGCTCAGCAAGGTGGAGACACTGCGTGCGGCTATCGACTATATCAAACACCTGCAGAGCCTGCTGGACTTAAACGTGTCCGGGATGGAGGTGTCACTTGGAGACGCGCGTAACCGTGCGCCGCTGCCGCAGAGGACAGTGCAGCAGTGATGGAGAATCCAAAACTGGCCTCAGCGACAGTGGGGGAAATGTTTACTAGCGCTCACCCTCACTGTACATTTGTTTAAGTGTAAAAAGCAAAACATGCCTAATTGACACAGTGTCTGATTTTATTCAGTCTGTAGATTGAGCATACACTTTATTGTAGAGAGCAAGCACAAACACGTAGTAAAGTTATTTGAAAAGAAAGTTTAAAGCCAGATTAATTTGTTGCATATAATATTTTTGGATGATATATTGATTGTGTGCCTTATGGTATTATCAACGAGGTAGTTATTATTACTGGGTGTAAAAACAGAATTATTAAAAATGGAGAAAACATTTTTTAAATCAGTGAAAGTCATGATATATTATTAACTTCTGTGTAAGTGATACTTATATTCATGAGTAACAAAGAAGTCTTGGTCATGATGTAGATGTTAATATGTCTAAAAATGTAAGAGTTATGACTACTGTGTGGGACAGTTGACAAGTTGAGCACTTCTCGGGTGCATTCACCACCTGGGAGATTTCCTAAATGTTTTTTTTTGTGTGTGTATGTTTTATTAAATTGTTGTGCACTTGACAACCTAATCCTAATAATTTCTAATTGAATGAATAGAATAATTTCCATAGTTCTCAAGAATGGGATCTAACAGTAGGAAGGCTGATCAGCAGTCAGAAGTTTTTTGTAATAAAAATTAAACGAAGCTCACGCCTTTAGCATGTGTTCTATTTTCTTAGACCTGATACATGTATTATATGTTTATGTGCCTTATGACACAAATTATTTATTTTCAATGTACACACAAACACACACACACACACATTATGATGTTGTCCTGTAGTTGTAATTTCAGAAAACCTACTGTAATAGAGCACAAGGTGATGCCACATGTTTGACCTTTTCTCTGCATGGTTTAATTGTCACAAATAGAAGATCATAGCTGCAGGTAATAACATTAATTAAATCCACCTAAATGTAATGCAGCCATTTAATGACGCTATCAATCCCAGCTGTGACTTATTAACAGTGGTGGAATGTAACATTCACTCACGTATAGTGCTTAAGTAGCGTTTGATATAATTCAATGTAAAACCAATGTAAAAAAGTTCTTTTAACTCAAAACATTTCTGAAACTGATTACATCAACATTTTTAAATAAAACTAATTACATTTGGTAAGTTACAAAAACATTCTTGATTAAGTAGCTTTAGTCATTTTAAGTAAGAATGACTTTTTATCTGTACTGTGAAAACAAAATAAATATATATAAAGTTATTAATCTGTTTCTCTGACTTACAAAACTAAGTTAGTGGCACTTAAAATTATTAGTGAAAGTGGCTTAATCCAGAATGTTTTAACCTAAAAATGTTAGTTTGTTTACTTAAAGATTTTGATGTAATCAGTTTCAACAATGTTTTGAGTCAAATTAACTTTTACAGTCTGGTACTTTACTTAAGCATTTCCATTTTATGCTACTTTATACCTATACTCAGGGATGGGAGCTTTACTTTAAAAATGTAATCTGATACAATTACTGAATACCTGTTCAAAATGTAGTCAGTAACGTAATCAAAGTATCACAGTATTAAATTAATGTAACTTTTGCATCACCTCAATCAGCATGTGTCCTCTGCTCAGTGTATTTTTAAGGAAAAACTGGTGTATTTTAAATCTGTAATCCCGCTAAATAATCTCCATTGTTACTAAATGCAAGTGTAATTTTTTTCTCTCTAACTGTAACAGACTACAGTTACCTTTATTTTGGTACCCTGATTGCATAACTCAGTTACATACTGAGCCAGCTTAAAATCAACAACATCTGAGTATCAAAAATCAACATACTTTTTAGTCCACAACATTCTTACAGCATTCATTTGCAGATTGAGGTAAATAATGCAAAATATAAATCCACTAAGTGCAGTGTATTAGTAAGGATTAAGATATGCAGCATTATATAAGTATTTTAAATTAGCTCCACTTTTACCAGCTGCAACATTAGTGCTGCTTACACATTAATGGGTCACTGATAATAATCCAGTGATATAGCATACATTATTATGAAATGGGTCATTCTGCATAATGACTACTTTTGTTATTTGTATTATGTTGAGTTTTTTTTATTAGTAATATTTTTGTATTTTTACACTATGGTATTGTTTTTACAAGAGAGTACTTCTTCCACCACTGCATATCAACAGGGGATCAGATCTAGAGAAATAGTCATGAGGTGGCAAAGGGTGGCATAGAGACTTTAATGGGTGGCAGAAATATATTTTTCTTTGCTAACAATCACATTTATCAATGGTTGCTTGGAAAAGCTCCCAAATGAAGATATTTAAAGTAAAAAAGACACTACATTATTGTGGCACATTAGTAAAGCATTAAATAGAAATATCTAAAGGTGGCATTAGAAATTAATACATTTTTCTATTTCCAAATCTTCAGACCTTTCTTCAAACATCTCCAAACTTTTTTCTTTGAACTTAAGCCTATCAAGTATTAAGTCTAAACTAGACAGCATCTGACACCAAACTGGGACCCCCACCCAGCATATCAAAATGTCTTCTCTGGATGCGGCTTATTCTGTCTGAAACTGATATGCTTGTGTCTTGTTTTAGTTATGGCCAATGGAAGTGAACATTATTACAGTAATACAGGCTGAACTGGTCCCTAAAGCTCAGAAACAACACGTCAAACCAACAGATCAAGTGTCCAGTCTAAAGAAAGTCTCTCTCTTTGTTTTCAGTTACCTGAGTGCTTTTCAAAGACCACCTTCTTACTGTCCTATCTCAGAGTTCTCAGGATGTTTTTTCTCTCCTAATAGCATGCGGAATGTATTTATCAGGGAGCCCACAGCCCCTCAAGGGGAACCTCCTCCTCTGTGCCCTATTTGTGTGTTTATACTTCCCACCTCCGCTACCACCGCCTGCACGGAAACAGCTCACAAATTTCTGATATTCAGTAATACCAACACCACAAATGGGAGAAAAAAAAGAAAACATGATATTGTATACAAGTAAATGGTTTTGGAGATACCAGCAGAGTGCAGCTTAAGTGAACTGTGGAGGAATGGCACTGACAGCCACAAAGGCATGACATACCCATAACAAAAGGTGTGTGTGGTGTGTGAATTAGACCCAATAATTAGCCAAGTGCTGGTACCCTGGGCTTGATGGTTCAGTGGCACTCTGAAGATAGAGAACATGAAGCTACTTAAAGGAAAACCTCTGCCAACGATAGATGTTTTCTTTCCTGATGCACACAGGCGTATTCTAATCTGATCCCAGCACAGATTCCTTGCAGGCATTGCTCTACTTTACTGGAGAAGTTGTTGCTGATGCATGAATTAGATTTAATACAGAAGATTTTGTACAGAAGATTTAATACAGGAGATTTAATACACAAGAAAAGTTTATAACTTTATCAGGATCATTTAAATTTATTTCTGAAATAATGTCACATGTGGTAATCTTTATTTATTTTGTGCCACAAAAACCTGCACAAAACCTTGTTTTCTTAAACAAACAGACAAAACAGAATGCCCTTGTACTGCATCCTGTCTTCTATCAAACCTATTTACCTTCTCTCATGATCACTGCAAGCTTCAAACACAGGGCCACCATTAAACAGATGCTTGTAGACAATAACCTTATGGGGATGAGCATAGCAAACAAGATTAAGGATACAAAGCATAAAATGAAAACAAGAGGAAGGGAAAAAGAAGAATAATCAGGCAAAGTGGAGTTGAGGTTGGTTTTAAACTAAATATGTGACTATTAGATATTCAGTCCTTTGGGTTGGGAAAGAAAAATACAATAATATGATAAGAGAACATCCGTAGGGGCGTGGGAAAACAGATATCTTCTACGTGCAAGAGATTTGAGTTCTATATTAAACCTGCTAATGTTGTCCTCTGTCTGAAAGGCTACAGAGTCTTGCATGCAGGAGAGAGAATTCCTGCAAACACGCACAATGACTCAGCTAGATAAAGTTTATCAGTTGAAGTTAGATCAGCGCGGGACCACCGAGAGAGGTTGCTGCAACGTGTCCAGACAGAGAGCCCACATTCAGAGACGGAAACGGAACAACTGCGAGTAACAGGACACACGATGACGCAGGAAACTACTGGTGCACTTCAGCTGAAGTTGAAGTCTCTTTGCTGCTGAAATATAATTTTGCTGTACAAGCACATTTACATTTACATATACATTTGGTATTCGAATAATAAATATAAAAATAAATATGTCAATTTTGGAACTCAGTATTGCCAGTAGATGCCATACAATACTGATATAACCTGTAGCATGTTGATTAAAGTGTTGTTCAGTGCTGTTTACTTCAAATTTGTGGGCAAATTATAAGCTACACCAAATAAGGGCAATACCACACTATAACACTGGCAACAAAAATGTACTTGAAGTATCAAAAGTACAAGTACTCATTATACAGAATGGTCCCGATTAGTGTTATATATGAACTGGAAACTGGCATTTCATTATACGACCTTGTGTTGTATAATGATGGATACATTTCCTTGATTCCCTTGATATATAGTATTATTGGATCATTATTGTTGATGCATCAACATGTGAGCAGTACTTTAATGTCCTGCTTGATATTATTTTTGTTAGTTTAATCTATAGATATAATCTGATTTTATATACTTGAATTTAAAAGAAAATAATTATAAAGTAGCATATAACTAAAATACTCAAGACAAGTACACCTCAAAATTGTCCTTAAGTAAATGTACTCCACCATGCATATTGTGTTATATTGTAGGGTGTTACTGTTATTTTGTCCACCCCTGCACCTCTTTCACACAGTCAACAGTAAAGCTGACAACATAATAGGAATGAATCATATAAAAGTCCCGTCATTTTCTTAATCGGTTTTGCTGTTGGTGTCATAATCATAACAACATTAGGATTTATTGTCTTAGTGAAAAGCTAATATTAACAGTTAATGTTGCTAATGAGAAGTTATTTCACAGTGCATGGTAACAGCTGGGCTTGGTTATAATATAGCCAGTGACTGACTCATTAATACAGCAACGTAACATATCAGTCAGGTTATGCAATGCTTCAGCAAAACTTGTTTTTCTGTTGAACACACAGGAGCAAATGATGCATCGTTTACTGCAATTTATTAATTTAAATACATATTTACAAGTTTACAATTTAAAAGTTTGCAACTGTGTCACATGCAGTGAAGTGTAAGTTTGCAGTGCAGCTCATGTGTCTGCCTGTAGGTGTGTGTGTTTGTGCAATCTATGGGCCTGCAGTTCATCAAGCTGTTCGAGGAGAGCGCCTTTTTCCAGCTCTAACATGGAGATCCGCCGATTCTTGTGACTCACCTCCTGCCAAAGGGAAAAAACAAAAGAAAATTACCATGGCCACGTTATACAGACATAAAGAGACTAATCGAGGCAAGAACAATGGAAAATTTAAACAAACGCATCCTCAGTTTGAAAAGATGTGTTAAAGGAGAAAAACACAAATTCCAATAAAAGCATGTCAAAAGAAAAGATATGAAATAAACTTTTAAAAAAATGTGTTTGTAGCATTTTTAAGTTGAATATGTAAACTGAAAAAAAAACCATACAACTATTTTCTGTTCTCTTACATGAGTCAGTACTGTGTTGTGCCACCGGAGGTCGCTGTCTGCCACTGCTTCTGGCAGAGAACGGTTGCTGCTGCTGGTGACATTGGGCTCGCTCATCACAGAGCCCAGAGAGCCGTTCACCCGCTGGATCCGAGACCTGAGGAGGCAAGACTGAACCTGTAGAGATACAGACAGGCAGTGTAAGTGACAGGGAATAGTCTTTTATCCTGCTCTGTCCATGAGCACATGATTGCTGACGACTACTGTCAAATCTTCATCATTTAGTCTTTTCAACAGCTCTGTATTTCTCTACCTGTCTCACCTACATCCCTTTGAGTTATACAATTACTTGGAAAAGGAGCTCAGATGTGGGTGCATGGATGTATAAATGGCACACATAGCTAGCAAACGAGTTTGCGTTCAATGCATCCTACATTGAGTCATGGTCAGTAAAGTCAACGCGGCCCTGCCTTGTACCTCTGCTGCACCTTCCTGGCTGCAGCCGCCCCCGTTTTTGGCCTCGATGTGGTCCTGCCTGGCTCTGTTCTCCTCCAGCCGTTGGAGGTACCAGAGACGAGTCTTCTCCAGGATCTCCAGACCAGAGCACAGAGCGTCCTTCTCCTTCTCAAGTTCCTTCAGGCGTTTAATCTGAGATGGGAGGAACAACAGCTCGTTCAGGTTCAAATACAGGACTAAAACTTTAAGTTGTGTCTTACAACCTAAACTGATATTCTCCTCCATGGACGTCATCTCGGAACAAGTTTGTGACAGGACAGTGGCAGAGGGGTGTCGATTTTTCATTTTCAGTCACATTTTAACTGTCTATGTTTGTATGTGTGTGTGATACCATGGGGCTGACCACCAAACACCTGGCCTGCAGCCTGATGTAAAGCAGCCTGATCGGCACAGCACTGCCTGTTGTCTTCCAGAGGCCCCAAGGCTTTGTTTATGTGAGCGGAGCCAATCTACAGAGCAGCAGGAGGCCTTTAGTTCTATTGTCTACACTCAGATGGATTACATGCACTTTAAATGGACTCAAACAGAGCTAACAGTGCTACAACAACCGGGGAATCATAATATATGGTGGCAGTGATCCACCTTTGGTATCATGAGGTCAGGACATCAGTCACTTTGTAATTTTTAGGCCAATTAACAATGAAATGGATCAGCAGGACATTAGAAACTTGTGACACTATTGTATCACTAATGTTTGTAACTAATTTGTTTTAGCTGCGTTGTGTCTTGCATAACATTACAGAAAATTACTATTTCTTTTTGGTCAGTTACTGTTTGATAACTCCTTTTATAATCATCGATTTACAGTAAGTGGGAAACTGGTTATATCGAGCCTTTAACAGGAAGCTGTGAGGGTCAGACTTGACATGTGGGAATGTGTCACTGGGATGACTGCAGCCTCCAAAACAACACTCAGACACAGAGCTAAGACGGAAAAACTGACTGAAAGCACAGGGGCTCTACAAGCATTTCGGTTAAATGTCCAGTATGAAAAGCAAACTCCTGTTGCATTAATAATAACAATTCAGTTGCCTCAAAAAATACACATGCTGTAATTTGGCCAATCAAGATCAGTCTAATCATCAGGAAATGGGAATTTGTGGGTTTACACATGTTGTTTTCACACACAGTGAGTGTTTTAAAGGCTGATTCCAGTAATTTTAGACCCAGTATATTTAAATTTGATTACTTTAAGGCTAATAAAATGAAATAAATGAGGAATACATAATTTTCTTATAATAATCTTATTCCTGGTAGTGTGGAGAAGGCTTTGAAACAGACTTTAGACCTTCATTTGGGAGATAAAAATGACAGAAAATGTCATTTAAAACTATAACTAGATCAATAAAATATCAAAACTCACACACGATCACATTTTGGAAGTGACAGCTTAATCTTTGAACAGAAAATGTATGTTTAGCTTTTAAACTTACATAACACAACAGGGCTGTATCGTACACTACGTATACTGAACTGGCAAACCAAAACACGTGAGATAAGAATCACTAACTCAGGAGAATCATATTTACATTCACACACAACAGAGACATAGTGAGATAAAACTGATTAGGATCAAAACCCACTCTCTACAACCCCTACACACACACACACACACACACACACACACACACCACCCCACTTCCTCACCCATAGGTAGAAGCGAAGAGCGTCCAGGCTGTAGAGGCTGGTCCTAAAGGGGATTATGACCACGGTGTAGGAGCCAGAGCCGGAGGGACGACAGGCCATGGAGATCAGTCACTGACAGCTACTACTGCTCCATACAGCTGGCTGGACAACAAACAACAAACCACAGCTCCCCTACGGCTGACTCAGAATAATACTACAGAGAGAGAGAGAGAATGAGT